GGGCTGGGCAGGGGCCTGCCCAGGACAAGGGGGTGGGGAGGGAGAAGACCCCAGTCCCAGAGAGCTGGCCCCCCGCTAAGGCCTGGAAGGAGGGGAGCGCCTGGGGACTCCTGCTTCCTTTTGGGGTCTGGCTGGTGCCCCAGCCCACCCCTGGGCCTCAGTTGGCCCGGCGGCTTGCCAAGTGACCAGGATATTGTGCTTTGGGATCGATGCTGGGGTGGGGTGTCAAGGCCAGGATGAGGGGCAGGGGAGGTGCGACTAAGGTGCTTGTGCTTTAGCTGGGGGTGTCCACTCCCCCCACACACTCGGGCCGGCTGAGGGCTAGGTGCTGGGGCCAGGAAAGCAGAGTGATACTAGCCACCCCTGCAACAAGGAGATGTCAGGAAGGACCCCCTCCCTGCAGGCTGGCAAGGGCTCCTGGGTAAGGGGGGAGGCCTCCAAGTCAGATTCCAAGGGTCCAGCTGGCCCCTACTCCACCTCCCATAATCCCCCTGCCTCTAGAAAGAGAGAGAGAGGGGCTGCTGGGAGCAGTGAGCTGGTCAGACTAGGGAGGAGACAGAAGACAAGGGCTAGAGACAAAAATGTGAAATTGCTAAGAAATGACGCCCTGTGTGTGTGGCCGAGGGCGGGGGGCGGGGAGGTAAAAAACAGAATCCTTCGAGTTCACAAATAAAATTCAAAAAAAACAAAACCACTCATGGAGCTGGGAGAGGCTAGGAAGAGAGGAATGGTGAAAGAAAAAAATTCTGCAAACAATCGCTAACAATGGAAGTGGGCTTGGCCCTGCCAGGAACTGGGCTCAGCCAACTGACCAAAATCAGGGATGCTCTTCCAATGTAGCTCCGTGGGGGAGGCATCAGGGGTGAGGGGGAGCTGGCCAGACCCACAGGAGCCCAGGCAGAGTGGGGGTTGGGACCCCACCTTGGAAACGCAAGCCCACACTCCATATGCATGCGCACATTCAGCCTGTCCCCGGCTCCCTACCCCATCTTGTCTTCCACGGCCCCAGGGACCGAAGGGAACATCAGATACGGTCCCATTGGTTTGAAAAATAAAAGGAATCTTATACTTCAATATTTCATTAGCTAAAAAAATGTTTTAAAAAGTATGTACAGGGGGTGGGGGCTGGGAGCCCTGCCATGGGGGCGGGGTGGGGGTGGGGAAGGGAGGGAAAGGCAGCAGCCCCCCCTCCCCCAGCCTGCTCCCCTGGGTTCCACCCCTGGTCCTACTGTCTCTTATATCTTCATCTGTTTAAAAGCAAAACTTCTACACAAGCACACGCGCACACACACACATGCACACCCACACGCTTCTGCAAGCCCCGGAAACCTCTCCTATCCTCAGAGACCCTCCGTCTGCCCTTAAGGGCCCCCTTACTCAGGACCTGCCCCTCTGGCTAAGCACAGGGTGGAGGAAGAGAAGGGCGCTGGGCCTGCCACCGCCCACCACCTTAGGTCAGTCATGGAAATTCTCTGAGCCTCAGTTTCCTCAGCTGTAAAACGGGCAGTCCTCACAGCCTCGCCTACCCCAGCCCCCAGGCGCAGGGACAGGCGAGGGAGACAGGAAGGCGCTTTTGGAAACGTGGAAGCACTGGGAGGTGGTGGTGGGAGGGGTCCTGAGAACCCCAGGCCCCCGCGAGTCCCAAGGGGCTGCGGTGGGGGGCGGAGGCTGAGGGATGCTCCCGCTGGGTGGCCCAGGGCCTGAGAAAGGGGACCTCCCAAGCCCCCCAGGCCGGCCCCTCCCTGCCCCTGGCCTGGTGAGTGGGGAGACAACTGCTAGGGGTTAGGAGAGGGAGAGCAAGAGCTCTCCGACTGTGCACGAGTGTGTGCTGGAGAAGGCAACGCAGACCTCGCACCACCTGCCATCCTCTCCCAGCCCGATCCCCGATCGGATTGGCGTCAGGGGGTGGGACAGGGGAGGCAGAGGGGCCGGGAGCATGCAGCGCCCCCCGCGGGTCCTGGGGAAGGGCAGACAGTAGCTCGTGACCAAGATGGTGGGAGGGTGTGACAGGAGGGGGAGTGTGACGGCCCCGCGGGAGGGTCCGGTGGGGGTTACTGGAGGGCCTCCTCGGCTGAGGGGCCAGCCTCGCCGTCATGGCTGGCAGTCTCGAAGCCGTGTTCCACACCCATCATGTCCGGCTCTATCTTGCCCGTGTAGCTGATGAAGGTGGTGTAGGCGTCACCCTCGGCCATGAGTGGCTTGACCTTGGGGATCCAGCTCTTACGCACAACGCGGCGGGCGTTGGTGCACATGTCGGCCGCGATGGCGTTCATCTCGCTCTCCTTGAAGTTGGGAGCAAAGTTCTGGCAGTAGTCTGTGGGCAGAATGGGGAGCTCAGGCTGACCGTGGCCTTGGCCTCCTGTCCTCCAGATAGGCACTCAGCCATGCTGTTCCAAAATCTCCCCACCACACACACACACAGACACAAAACCCTCAACACCCTTGCAGACAGCACACTAAAACACATCCTTGGACCGCAGGTTTGACTGAGCTTGGCCATGAGGTGTGGATTTGATACGAGATGGCCCAGTGGTCTTGAAAAATGTGGGTCATTTGCCAGAATTTAGAAGCTGGGAGAGCCCATGTGAAAACCTAGACTTCCCTCATGACAACTGGCACATTTTAGACCCTCTCCCAAAGGCTTTGTGGCTTCCCTTCAGTGTACCCCACCCCAAGAAATCTCTCAATAATAGCCCTCTTTCCAACAAGCCTAGGCTGAACCTCAGAATCCTTAACACCTAACTCTACCCATCCATCAGGATCAACACCAGGGAAAAGGACCACCTGCCTGCCCCAGGCCCCCCCCACCCCAACTCAGCAAGCCAGACACTCACACTTGACGGCGTGGAGGACGCGACTATCCAGCGGTTTGCGGCTGGGGTTGTTACTGGAAGAGCGAATGCCGGTGCCGCAGCTGTTGGCCAGGGTGTTCCTGTGTGGGGGCCACGAGGAGGGGAGTCAGGCCTGCTGTGGTGGTGGGGGGGGCACAAGGCAGCCCCAATCCCCCCAACCCCCAGGGCTCTGGCGTGGGCCTCACC